ACGGAAACAATATTCGTATTTATTGCCGTTTTTGTCTTAGTGTCAATAAATGCAATAATGTTTTGTAATCTCAATTCAATTTCATTATCTTTCTTTTTCGATACAATAAAACATAAGACTTCTATTAAAAGTTAAATATACTTTCAATTCATTTTGAGGCCATTAATATGCACTATTTGAAAACAATAAAGTATCCACGGCTTGCTTGTTACTCTTAAATGATTTTATGTAAAAAAAAAAAACAAATCTTTTTCCTACTGATATATGACTTGGTGATGTATTATGAGTTTTGCTAATTTTTAACATTACAAAGACCAATGATGAAAGATACATGTGAATTTCAATCGTTATGTAAGATAAAAATAAAGAATCTTGAGGTGTTCTCTGCATAGTAAGAAAAGCATAGAACAATAAACCGTTCAAACGTGTTTATTAACCTCATAAATCCTCAAACAGTTTATTACGTATAATAAATCCTTGAAAGATATATGACAGTAAGCCAAAAATAACAGGACCAATGATTCAGTTTTAACTTTCACACGCTAATGCACGTAAAACTTTAGTTTTCAGTGTCTCAAATGCGATCTCACGCGAGTAGAATTGATTGGTTTTGTCTAGTTTAAGGTTCCATGGAGAAGAACGCTTTATACCATTAAAATCAGGTCATCGAGCTCTACAAACTGGTATAAATCCGATTCAAAACGGCTTGTCAAACTTCAATACCTTTCCCTGTAAAAACATTCTCGCATGCAGGGATGATGATTACTCGTGCTCAAATGGCTCACCTATCTATTTCTAAAGACTTCATCGAATATAAGTGACTGTGGGAGTGCAAGCCTTTATATGCTTAAGAATTGAGCAATATCAATCAGTTTTTATGTCATTATACTCACTTCCACTTTGAAATACGGTAGAAAATAGTGAATGTATATCGAACGTTTCACGATTGACTTATTCGATGTGTTACGTTGTTATCTAAGAATGTTTTGCGGTCACCGTATTTTCATGGCCACCGTAAACAGCAGTAGTTTGCATCAAAAATTTAGGACGATCATTATTTGTCGTAAAGCATCGGTAATCAACTGCCGGTTTTTTTCCGTAATTGACTGCTATATGGTCGTTCACGGCCGAGCATGATTGATCTGGGACAATGAGTCTTTCGTTTGAAAAATATTCAACCCAAAGAGCATACATTAATTGAGATATGAGGAAAACACTAAGACACCTATTTATTTTGTTCAAACCGTACATTTATCTACTATGGATTTGTTTATATTTTGTCACATTTGCTTCGACTTTCTTTATCAAAAATTAATAGATACCAGCAACACATCTGCATTGCTAGAGGTCAGAGATGAGTTACTCCAGCTTAAAAAAACTTCATTCCTCTTTCCGAAACCTCACTTCAACTCTACCTTTAGGTTTTCTTTGAGACTTCTGCCACAATGATGACTGTAAAAAGTCGCAATGGACTTGGTCTTATCTTAAGAAGTTTAACCGTTTTGCAACGGCTTCTTCAATCACTGTTTCACTCCTGGTTTATTTCATTTTCAACGAAGTTGAGTAGACAACAACTAATAAAGCAAGATACATCAATTTACAGTAACACACACACGACAACAAGAACATCANTGGCTTGAAATCTACTACACTTCATATGGGCGGACCAGCATAAGCTAAAATTTCAATAATCAGGCAGCAGTCTAGACGGGCAACTCTATAACAATTTCGTAAGACTTTCTTTGTAATAATGCTATTTTCGACTTAAAAAGGGAAACAGTTAAAATTGATGAAGTAGTGATTGAAACAAGAACAGAAATTTGAAAAATTGATTGTGCTCGTATTGATGCTTATGGATTTGGTTTAATGATGATCGACAGCAGTGATGATAATATGAAGACAAGAAAAGCAAGCTTCAACGACATAAGAATTGACGATGAAATTAAATGACATAGAAATTATTTTTATGTTCAAGTGAAAATTAATGCTAATAAAAAAAACTATTCATGATCGTGATTGGTACAAGATAACTCATATGTTCGGCTTCCCTGAGTTACCTAAATAAGTTCCCAAGAGATCATAACAATCTTCTTTAATCTATTTTGCGCATGTGATTTCTTTTACAAATAAATTCGGAGAAATTTCTATGTGAACAATAGAAACTGAAATACGGGTAAAACATTTAAAAAAATTATAACTCAATCTTGCTTAAGATCTGATCATTGTATTTTGTGGATTTTTAAATGTCTTGTGTTTTTGTACATAGTTCATGTATGGTTAAATAAATATTGCTCGAACTTTCACGACTTTTACCACTAAGTTAAAAACGGAAATACATTGCTGAAAACAGCAATACACATGATAAATCATTCATTCTTCCATAAACTTTTACGATTGCTTGACAGTTCATCTCTGTTAACAAGGTACCTAATACAAAGTCTCACGTTGATTGAACCAAATACTTATTTTATCAGAGTAGTATTTGAACAAGAGATATTTTCTTTAGGTATTATTGCTGTGTGCTGGATAACCTGCACAATCAAAATAATAGTAGGAAAATGAAGTCGAAACCTATTATCTCTACAATAAAAATGCATTTAAATAGGTGTCAAGTGCAAAGTCCATTCTTTGTGCTCTTCTTGTGTAGACATTCAGGATCGTTCGAATCGGGGAATAATTCTACATGACAGATCCCACTCGCTGTGAATTGCGAATTGCAAAAAGCAGTTTCAATTTTTTTGCCAGATTCGGCAATGAGAAACAAATAATGAAAGGCAAAGCAATGGCGATTCCATATGCCCAGTAAGTGAAAACATTCGCATAGAAATCATACGAAAATGGCATGGGTAGTCCCATAGCCTGTGCAATAGGATATAGTGAAAATGGCGTACTAAAGACTAAATAGACGATGGAAATGCTGAGTAGCTGTATGATCATTTTACGATACTTTTGCCATTCGATTGATTGACGTAGTCGGTTTCGAGTTTGTATAACTCGTACGATCAGTACAATAGTGAAAAGAGAAATTAGTATCGTTGGAACAACTTGATGGACAATAAGTTCAATAGAGTACAGGTTAGGTGTAGGTAGATTCATATAACAAATAAAACCACACATAATCAATGAAAAATCGAATATGTTGACACAAGGATATAGGAAATCAACAGCAAAATAGTATGATAATATATAAAGACAGATAACAGCTATTGGTAGATAGTGAAAAAGAATTCGACTTCGTTCTGTATTAAATAAATTCGAATGAAAAATAAGTAAATGTCGTTGAAATGCTGTCCAAGCCATGAGAAATAGGCTTAAATAATACGTAACTGAGTCGATGAATGTCCAAATGATACAGTTTGCATAGGTTGATGGACGAAAAATTCCTGTATACAAATATTGAAGAATTAACGATAAGTCATAAGTTAATTGAATGAAATTGATTATAAGTATAATAAAAATGGTATGAAAACTAAGTGTTTTCTTGAAATCTTTTGGAGAAGAAAGAAAATAGTAACCAACAATTAAGTAAGCAATAAATGATAATATTTGGCATGTTTATAAAACTCCAAAAGTAACTTTTTGTATGTAGGTTCGACTGTTCGGTGTTTCTATCACAGACAAAATGCTGGTCATATTTGTTTCCATTATTTAACGTGCAATAAGTAAATAATTTATTTTACTTAATTTTACTTGATGAAAAAACTGACGTTCACTATTTTTTCTTCTGTTAAAATGAGCCGTCTTCAGCGTATCTGCATAGAAAAAAAAGTAGAAGTGTCTTTTTTTTCTACTTTGAAAACAACTGTAGTAGTTTTGATTATGTGATGAATATTTCAAAGATAAGAAAATTATTTGCGTAACACAGGCAAATTACGCTTGATATGCTTTTTTAAATGTATAATTTATATAGCATTCACATCTTTGAACTTTTTCATGATAATGAATTGAAGTATATGCTGCGCAGAATTCCACATGAATAGTTTATGTCAAATGTGTCACAATGATTGTCACGTTTAGTTGCAAAAATGGAAATGCATGAATTAATAACTGTTATTATTGTCTTTAAGTAAACTATGCAATTACAGTCTTCATTATCATTGAAAAGGTTCAATGAGATCTATCAGCCAAAAATAAAACAGGCTCTCTATCTAAAACAAGTTGTAGTCATCTGACTCCATGGCTTAACATACGACAGCAAAATAAAATGAATGTTTTGATTATTTCATATTTTTTTAAGATACAATTATATTTTCTACTTACGAGCAGTATAGTCTTCTCGACTGGCAGAGCAGCCGCATCAACTGGTTATTGAAAAATTTTTTTCTCCAATATTTTACTCATATTTTGTTGCTCTATAATATGTTTTGAATACTTTTCAGCATATGATGTACATTGTTTTTTGAAAATTTCTAATGATAGAGTTTAACAGCTGGTATGAATCAGACACAGCCGTCTCAGCAAGGGTAGTGCACATCTCTGCTCAACAAACATTTTTCATTGATTACTTCTACATATTATTTCTCGATCATTAACGTTCATTTATAGAAACGATTCGAGCGGAACTAAATTATGTCAAGATGATTAGAGAGAGCAAGATATGATTGTCTTGTGCTCAAGAAATACCAGTCAACGATAAGAATATGATGAAATTGATTTGAACTTCAAAGTAGTCATTATTCCATGTCTCATGAAAAATTAGATTCGAACTAAGTATCCCAGAATATGTTTCAAAATATGACAAATATGACAGATTTTTCTTTTAATTGATGATCGCAATAGTTTATGTCTACCTAATTTTTAATCATATTTCTTTAAAGGTTTGACATTATAAAACTAAAGCTGTTTCTTTGTAAATCAAAATAATTTTCTATTCATGAATTTTATTCAAGCTTTATAAAATAAGCTGATGTTTATCCCTGTAATTATCAATACTATAATAGTTGAGCTTGAAAAGAAAAGCCACATTAAAAAAACCTATTATTTCTCGTTTAATGATTTTCTTAATTCGTATTATAATTGAATATTTCACTTTCGTAATGGTACCGCTGTATCACAAGATTTTTCCAAAAACGAGCCAATTCCAATGTCTGATCTGCCCAATCTAACATATCTTTCAACTGCACTTTCCCATTATTCATAGCATTCGGTGTTGACAATGACACTGAGCTTTTATTCGTCAATAAAAGTTCATGATGATTTGTAATACTTAAGTATTCATTGGTCCAACGCCCTTTCCATGTTCGCATCCAATATTTTCCAATAGATGCATTGGCCCATGATGGATGTGCAGCTGTAATTTTATAATCGAGATTGATTAAATCAACTAATTCAAAGGGATCATATACAAGATGATATAGATGCACGTCATCATTTGCAATATCATAGGTAAGTTTTTTTGGATATTGTTTAACAATGATATAAGAATTACCAGGATTTGCCAAATGAAATGTGTATCGAACAGGTTGTTTCTCAAGTGGCATTCGTAGGATTGATGTTCCTTCATATCGAGATAATATCGATTGTAGATGATGAGTTGGTACAGATAATAGTTGATTCGCCATTCGCTGAGTAGGCGTTATCGACGACAACAATATATCCATAATAGTCGGCAAAATATCCATATTGGTAAATTGACCATGGAGCTGTTTAGCTTCAAGATGTGGATTGTACAGCATTAAAGGAACTGAAAATGCACATTCCAAAGGAGTACCTAGTAATCCGAGCATTTCTCTCCCATAATCATTGAAGACATAGCCGTGATCACTTGTTATAACGAAAAGTGTTTCATTGTACAATTTACGTAATTTGAAACCATCAATAATTTCTTTCAATAAGTCATCTGTTGCACGCAAGGCATTCAGATATTTGTTTATGGTGAATCATCTATGTAAAAACTATATTCATCCATTGGTGAATCAGTTGGTATTGGAAAAGGCTCATGTGTTCCAGTAACTAATAAGCTCATCATCAAATGTTTTGTTTGTTTTTCTGCCAAATTATTATCAATCCATTTCCACATTAGAGGTAAGATATATGAATCAGCAGGGCCAAACATCCCAAGATCGGGAACATATCCTACCTCTTCATAAATATCAAAACCGTTAATTGTGGTATCAAATTTAAGCTTGTTAAATAAATCTTTCTGATGATCGAAATCATCACGAGCTGCTGTAAAGAAGGCTGAACGAAAGGCTGATTGATTGTTTTTCGTTCGAAAAGTTTCACGAAGTAGTTCAGGTAAACATTTTTCATATAAGAATTTGCTTCTTTGAGAAAATTAACATTCAAAGGATAGATACCACAAAAAATACTGACAAGACTTTTTAATGTATACGATGATGTGACTGATGCCACTGTATGAACAGAATTCGTCCAAAGTGAATTGAGAAGTGGTGTCACCTTAGCAGCAGTCGCATAGGATGCAAAAGTAGATTTTATAGCATCGGCCAGACTTTTGTTTAATGGTAAAGCATCGGCACGAATTGATTCTAGAACAATGACGAAGACATGTTTAATAGGCTTTTTCAAAGTAACCAAATGACGAGAAATATTAACGGCTGGTGCACGAATCATTTGTATTATACTATGAAGCGCAGTTTCGTTTATATGAAACGGTATTAATGGTTTTGTTTTCCAATAATGCGAAATCATTTTAGGAAAATATATCAATACCATGTTTGACGATAGATTTGTATATGGTTCTGGTAGATGAAAGAAGAACACAATTAGCATATACGTAAGAATAAGATATGAAGCGAATATTTTCATAATCTTGAAGTGTCCAAACCGTAAAGCTTTATGCGACTGAATGTAACGAAACACGATGAACCAAAATATAGTANCCCCCCCCCCACCCCCCCCCCCCCCCCCACCCCCACCCACACCCACACCCACACCCACCCACCCCCACACGCACCCACACCCTTGACTATTTTTATATCACGATGAGTTTTCTTTTCTGAATGTAAATATTCAAGAGCTTGGTGAACTTGATATACAGCAATTCCTATATGTTTTTCATTAAATGTACCATCTTTCATAAGATCTAATGGTAAAGCATCACTGAGATATTCCATAATAATGCATTATTTAGTTTTCTTGTTAAAAAGAAATAACAAAAATAAATTCATTGAAGTTTTTGAAAAATTTAAAATTAATTTAAAATAAGAATCAAAATATTCTGTTAGATACAATGAATTACGTTGAGAAAGTAGTTGAATATCTTCAATTCTGATTTTGCAAAATCAATTATTTTTATTGCGACAATATTTGACTATTTTCTATTAAACACTTTTATATACTTCCTATATTGTAATAAAAAGAAATAAAATAATAATAAAACAAAATGTTGAAAAATATCTTCAGAATCAACTTAACCCTAAATGAAATTTATTTGAAAATATTTTATTCAGTCCTGCAGACCTCCTGATATTTTTCATTGAGTTATTTTTGAAACGAAAATAATTCAACTCAAAAACAATTATTATTCGATTTTTGTTTCTTCTTTTAAGTTCCATTGTATCGTTTAGAAGAAATTAACAAGTAGTACGTACCCTCACCCGAAAAAAGTCATCAAAATCGAGTTTTTACAGCCTCAAATTGATTGGATAAATTTCTATCAGAAATTCAAGCTAATTTTTTTAGTTCGGAATCTCGCTGGCCGTTTCGAACCCAGGCCTAGATCACGAGATATTCACAAAACTAGCGCCACCTACATGATAGTTTCACGAATATCCCGTGATCTAGATTTGGGCTCGAAACAGCCAGCGATATTCCGAACTAAAAAAATTAGCTTGAATTTCTGGTAGAAATTTATCCAATCAATTTGAGGCTGTAAAAACTCGACTATGATGACTTTTTTCGAGGTGAGGGTACGCACTATTCATTTTAATGACTTAGCACAAATTTTTATCTGACAATGATTACTATTGGTTGAATCGTTAAGCCAAGCAAATTTCTTAATTTCTGTTGCGAAATTTCATCTTTTTTTAATAAAGAAGAAGAATGAGTCAGTAATGTGCCAAGATAGATGAATTACTCAAGTGTATTTCGCAATCAGCAGAACATAAATAGAGAACATTGAACCAGTTGCGATATGTGTTTTCCGTCAAAAATAAAGATCGATTTACCAGGTATAGTGTACTTCGCCCTTGACATAAATTCTGTTATAAGAAAATATTAGATATGAAGATTATTTGAAATAAATATTTTTTTTGTCGTTCATATATAAAGAAAAAAAAACTCGAAGCATCTTCTTGTTCGTTTATTTAATATTCATCCGACTCATCATTCTAGTTGTACCGGTGCATATTTTATCAATCTTAAAAATTTTTATCGTTTCACAAAATCAAATTTATTTATGGCATCAAATAATCGAACATGTTTTGTATTTGATAAAGATGATTCAACTAAAATTCTTATTCAAATTGTTTATGAAATTCCTTCAACAAATATCTCTCGTCAGTTTAATTTATTACGTTCTATCGATGAATCTGTTTCTCAAACAATTCATCGTTTAACAACTAATATTGAACGTGCTATAATCAAAGAAAGTAAATTAAATAAACGTCATCGAAAAGAACAGACTGAAGTAACATCAAATGCTGTAAAACAAGTAAGTGTTGTAGAATTATTTGATAATAATAATCAAACGATTGATGAAAATGAAACAAATAAACAAGCATGGCTTAATTGTCGAAGATTATCAATTAATGGACAATCTTATAATGTTGAATACAATGCGCCAGGTTTTTTTTCTTTCCTTTCTTTATAATCAGAGGTGAAAATTATATTATTTTTGCTTAGCTGTTATTAAATTTCGTTTTCCTGAAAATATTCTAACAAATACAATAACAACAGCATTTGTAGAAATTGACTATGGTCAATATGAATATTCATTATTTGATTGGTATGTTACAGATGATATTAAAACAGAAAATGATCATACTCAATGGACACATGTACATCATGGATCATTTTGTATATTTCATGATGAACATGTTAATAAATTTGTACGTCTTGTTTGCTTACCCCGAAATGATGCATTAAGAGAAGGTATGCAAGCTGAAAATATATCAAACACACGAATTATTCCATGTCCATTTGATTTACCAATGAATATAAGACATGAATTAACAAAAGAATATTTACCAATTGATTCAAATAGGTAAATTTTAACTATTTTTTGTTCCATTAAAATAATTCCTTTTTGTTGTTTTTCTTTTTTTGTAGTGTTCGTTTAGTATCATATAATATATTAGCAAATGGATATGCATCATCAGCTTATGCTGCTGAAACAATTTATTCATATTGTCCACCAGATTATCTTGAACATGATTATAGAAAAGCTCTTCTTTTAAAAGAAATATTAGGATATCATGCTGATATTATTTCATTACAAGAATGTGATGCATCATTTTATCAACGAGAACTTTCATTGGTATTGAAGCAACATGGTTATTTAGGTGATATGAAAATAAAAAGTGATTCAGTAAGAGAAGGTGCAGCAATTTTTTACAGAACAGAACGATTTACGTAAGATTAATTTTGTTTTCTATTCATATATATTGAAATCTATTTATATTTATAGTGCTATTGGTAGCCATAATATTAAAATAGGTGAATATTTACGGGATTCAGAACATTTGGAATATATTCGTCGTCGATGCTCATTAGTGTCAGAAATCAATACTCATTTATTAGAAAGAAATACTGCATTACAAGTAAGATTATTTTACTTTTTTTTCTTAAGAAATATCTACCAAAGCGTGTACATTTTCTATCTTTTGATCTTTAGAATCATATAAATAATTTAGATTAGTTGATATTTAATCATAGATAATATCCAAATTTTAATAGATCATTCATAAAGGTTCTAAGAAAAAAACTTGCCTTTTTAACCCTACTCTTGACTGCACAGTAGGAACAGTCTTCTTGCTCAAATACATTTCTGATTTTTTTATCAAATAAATATCTCAAGTATAGAAATGCAAATATAATTAAAATTTGACCTATTTCAAAGTTTTGTCTATTTTAAATAAATTCGATTTTTACCTTTTTCTTCATGATAATAAATTAACCACTTGTAATAGTTCATTTTGATCGAAGTTTTTATTAATTAGCAGATTCAGTGACAAACATTGCTAACAAACATTTCAGTACGGTATATCAAACTAGAGCAAACTTTGAACTTATTTAGAGTCTTTTGTCAGGACGTCAGTTACTTCAACTAGGGATGCAACAGTGACGATAACCGTACCAACGATTAACAGTTTTCACCGGTTACTGGAGTTCTATGTGCTGAATCCGTGACCCCAATTTACTTTCGTCAACCTTAATAAAATATCATTATTTTCTCAAAAAACTCTTTTTTTCATGAGACACCGATGATTGATCGTCACTACTGCATTCCTAACTTCGACATTGCAAACTATCAAGTATTTGGAGTATTTTCAAGCTAAAATCAATATCTATAAGTTGTTGTTATTCGAACAGAATGTTGAAATTTAACTTTCATTAATTTTTTATGATTATTACAATAGAAATACTATTAAAACTAGTGAACAAGTGTGATTGCATGACACTAAAACTTGTTTTAATAGTATTTCTATTAAAACGGACCTGACAAGCATTTATCCCTTCTTAGATGTTTCAAAAAAATATTGTTTAAATCTTGAGTGGAATGGCATCAGTTTAAATTTTGCTCATTAAAAGTCAAAATTAAAATTGCATATTCATATATCTTAATTGAATTTTACGGATTATGTAACAGATGTTATAAGATAAGATCTTCATCCCCACTGGAATTACATAAAATTCAAAAGTTTCTCGATCATCTCGTCTGTATCTCTCTATGATCAAAAGTCAACTTTGGTTTTTTTATCGAAAAGCTAAATTTTCTAAAAAAAGAAAAAAATATCAAAACAATAAATTAAGTTTAATATAAGTGGTTCTCAAAACTCTGATAAGGTTTATATGAATATCTATTCATATTCAATTGATTAATTCAGTTCAAAATATTCTTTAATACAAATTGAACTTTAAAATTTCATCAAAAATTACGTGAAACAAGTCACAGTATGTAGCAGTGTCCTACATGGGTCAATTTTTCGTGACTCGATCCGAGTCGCACACTGGTATGTAGATGGTGTTTATGAAGGAAAGGTATCATAAAAAGTGTACATCTTTCATCGAATGATGAGTAAGCGACTTATTTGATTTCAAAAATAAGTCAAATTTTTCGAATTTTCTCGGTATTTACAACTCAGTACCCTTAGCCTCACGGCAAGATCAAAACTTTTATCTGATTCATGATTCGAATAGGGACTGTGTTATCTTTAAGATTTTTCAGATAGAAAATGAAACATTTGTATACAGAAATGAACATGGGTTGAGGTTCTTTGGGAACCCCTTTGAGAATATACGATGTTGATCGCATGATCAAAAGTACTTTTGTAAAAGTACAAAAAATCAGGTTACATTTTTACTTTACTGAAAAGTCCAATTTAAGTTTTTACATATCAATCGCCCAGCTGAAATTTTTATCACAAGAAATGATTATAACTTAGTTGAAAATACCGTGTTTTCCTATTCTAAAAAAATAGTGATGTTTCGATCTTTTTCGTTTATTTTTCAAATGAGATTATACTCCCGAAATTTCATTTATGTTCGAATTCGAATTAAACAATTTATATTAATTATCAGGGATGGACCGACTGTGTGTACAAATCTTTTTCTGTGATACTAATGCAAGCAAATTTAAGGTTAAAATTAGATTAAAGTCGATTGAAAATGAACTAAAGTCATACGCTTTTAACTGTTTTTCAATCAAAAATATCCAAAACAATTCACAATTTGTTTTTTTATTACGATTACTCTGGATTAATTATAATCACTTTTTTTTCATTAAGTTTTAAACAAAATAACTAATGAAATTGTAATTTTTCCGTTACTTTCAAGTGAAATCGATTAAAAAAGTCTCATTATAATATGTTTCCGATCAAGTTTAAATCAATTTCAATCTTGTTTTAGCTTTTATATTTCTATATGGGTTGTGCTTGTTTAAAATATCGCAGTGTTTCTAAGTATTTTTGGTGTGTAGATAGAGTACAGTTCGATTGTGATTATCATATGAACGAAACATGAAAAGTGCTAACAGAGGCGTAAGAGAGAAGAAGTCCATGAGCAAAAGAGAAATATACAAAAAACTATGAGTTATTCAAATTAGAAGAAGCTTTCAAGTTTCTTCTGACTGATTTTCTCTATTTATGATGCAAGAAAATCTTTCAATGAAAAAGTACTCAGAACAGACTCGATTGCATCTCCATTTATTCGAAGAAAGAAAAAATTCAAAAAAAGTTCTCAACGCCAAAGGTATTCATTCTGACATCTATTTATCTTAATTACGAAACTTCTTAAAAGTATTTATAACCGCGACGAGTACCTAATATACGAAGCTCTTCAGGTGTGGATGCTTCGTTCAAGCTAAAAATCAGAGAATTCTCAAATCAACAATGAGTTTATATTCATTACCAGTTGTGAAGCAAAAAAAAATTGAATTTTATTGTATATGATTTTAAAAAACGATTATTTACTTCTATGTATTTGAAAACAATTTGCCGAATCCTCAGAGTTTATGTTTTTCAAGTTTTTATGAATAATAAGAATAATGAAAATTTTCGATTGTTGGGGAGAATGTTCCATCTTCGACACCTGCCCGGTCGGACCATCCCTGCTAATTACCAAAGATTTTAAAAAGTGGAAATGACTTGAATCATTTTTTAGTTAGAATTAAAATGTATAAAGCGTCGTTCCAAAGTTGTTCTCATGATATTTTCTGTTGTCTTCCGATTAATATTAAAGAGTATTATCGAGAGATGTAGTCGGTGGATTGGTCGTTGTCGATTCATTTTATGTATTTTTGCTAGTTTATTATTATATAAACTAATTCAAAACTAGAATTGATTTTTCGTAGCACGTCATTGAGAAAAAGAGTTTGTAACTCTATAAATATATTCTTTAGATTTTAGCATTAGAACGACGAAGAGAATCAAATGAAGTTTTTCTAGTATGCAATACACATTTATATTTTCGTCCTCATGCTGATCTTATTCGATGTTTACAAACTATGATTGCTTTTGAACGTATCAAAGAGATAAAACAACTTTATGAACAACAAGTAATTATTTTATTTCTTTGTATAATTAAAAATATTCAATGTATGAAAATAGAATAAGAATGTTTCAATAATATGGAGTGGAGATTTCAATGCTAATGTGACATCTTTAGCATTTCATCTTCTTTTTACTGGTGTTTTATTAACCGATACGAATCATCGGTCATACAATGAAGGTATTTTTAAAAACATCTTATATATAAACAATTCTTATGTTTTATTTAAGATTATGCTAAAATAATAAAAGATTTTGATTATAAAACACCAATTGAATTAAGTACCTATTCGAATTATGCATATACAATTTATTCGTTACAATTTCATGATGTTATTGATCATATATTTTATGATTCGAAAAAATTTCAATTTCAACGTTCTATACCAATGCCAACTCATGAACAAGTTACGGAATTTACTGCTTTACCATCATGTAAAATTCCAAGTGATCATTTAGCTATTGTTATTGAACTTGAAATTGTTAAATCGTATTAGAACTTTTTCATTTAAATAAACTTTATTGTTTTCTTTAAACCAAAACACGCTTCCTTTCTAAACCTAAATAGTTACTACAGATTCTAGTCGTGACACAATAATAGATATTTTGACTTTCAAAAAACTTTCCGCATCTCCCAATCTCTTTTTAATTTCAAAACTTTTCGAAAGAGAGTGTGAGTGTAAATCAACAAGAGATACACCCATACCCACACTCCACCGCCAACAACAAAAATTAAAAACGAATTCATGTATAGCACACTGAAAAGAGGCATCTCAATGAGTCATTTGTTTTCTGTTATTTTGCATCGTCCTTCGATCTGAAAATGTCTGCAATAACCAATAAATTAATCAGACTTTTGTGATTAATTGAATTACTATTTTGATTGGAACTTGGATTGTTTTCCTCAAATTAACTTGAGTCATTCATCGATTCTAAAACAATAATATCATGATTTTTTCCTTGAATTCGAAAACGAGAGTAGGAGAGAATAACCCAAGGGGGAAACGGCGGATTTTGGATTTTTCGGATTTTTTGGGATTGTTTGGGATTTTTCGGATTTTGATAATCCCAAAATCCAACACCAATATCCTGTTGAAGATACAGAAATTTCGAGCTGAAACTTTGTCCATATGTAGGCTTCGTGGTTCTTAAAATATTCTAGAAGTTTCAGCGCCAACGGATGTTATCTTCTGGAGATAATGCGATCGCAAGAAATACTCATATTTCACATCTTGGTCAGAAAATCCACTTTTATTGGACGTTGNTTACTGCTATAAGAAAAAATTAAAAAAAAAAAGAATTATGTTGCAAATAAGCATATGTGTATTATATCTTCTACTTAGTGACGTAGCCAGGATTTTTTAAGTAGGTGGCAATTTACCAGCTAAATTATTTTGAGTAGGTGGCAGCGATGCGTAATTGTAAAATCTAGTGGGCAATAATTTTCTAAAAACTTATTCACATTACAGAAGCCGTTATTTATTGAAGAGAAATTAGTCATTCTACATTAACAGATATAAGTATACACAGGTATTTACATTTTTTTGACAGTAGGGAATTGTCCGCATTTTAAAAACATTAGGTGGCAATTGCCAAATTGCTGCCCTACTGGCTACGCCACTGCTTCTACTATTGTCAATCATCACTGTCAATATTTCACAAAAATCGCTTAAGAGCCATTTCACTTAAGCCACGACCTATGGTGCTCAATCGATTTTTCTGAATTTCGATGTCAATTACATATGCTAAAATTACATCGATTAGTGAATTTTTTTACCACCAACCGCATCTCGATAGCTCAAATCGTCATTGAGATATTCAGTTTTTATTATGACATCCTTTTCCTTCAACTAACAATGTCGATTCCATCCCTATCCACTGAGAAGCATGCCATTTCTCATTAACGGGATGCAGAATCATGAAAATTTCAGAATAGATACATATTGAGTTGCCCTACAAAATAAAACTAATTCCAACGGTAGATGTCGCTCTATGACTGGGTTATAGGTGTCACTAGTAGTGACAATTCGTTCGTCTATATATGTTGCATAATTGGCTACCCAAGGCTAAAACGTTTACAGTAGGTACTCGGGCTATGGTGCTATATAATGATGAAAAGAAAACTTTGGGCAATCAACCACAACTGAATATATAGAACTTTTACGAAAATTTCCTGCATTTTCTGCTGGTTTTTACAGATTTTCTTCGTATTTTTGTACCAAAAACTAAAAACGAACGTCATATTCGAAATCAGCATAACAACCTGAGTCAAATGATATACAATTTGTAAAAAAAAAATTTATCAAAAAGTTACTCCTACTTCCCCTCAGCTCCTTTCAATCAAATTTTTGCCTGTAGTCCCCTTCAGATGAGTTTTTGGTCAAAAATTTGTTTTTACGAAATACATATGACTAGACTCAGTTCTTGATGCTGATTCCGAATATGGCATTCTTTTCGAGTTTTTGTTAAAAAAATACGACAAAAATGTGCCAAAACCAGCTGAAAATTCAGTTAATTTTCATAAAAACTCGGCATCTCGGATTGTGTTTGATTTTCCAAATTTTTCTTTGCATCATTATATAGTTTCACAGTCCTAATACCTATTCTAAAAGTTTCAGTCTTAAGGAGCTGGTTATGCAATAGATGTTGCGTGGTGAATTTTGACTAGTAGCGACCTCTATAACCTGACTATAGGACGATACCTAGAGCTCAGAGTTGTTATATTTTATAGGGCAACTCAATATGTTTATATCCCGAAATTTTCATTATTCTATATCACGTCAATCGAAAATGGCACGTTTCTCAGTCAACAATAGTGAAATTGGGACCGCCATTTAAAGGAAAAGGACCTCAGAATAAAAACTGAGTATCTCAGTGACAATATTGAGCTATCGAGGTGCGGTTGGTGGCAAAAAACTCAATAATTAACGTACTTTTGAAATATGTATGTGAAATCCTAATTTGAAAAAAATCGACTGAGCAGCCTCCATAGCAAAAGGTCATGACTTAAGTGAAATGGCTGTTAAAAGAAAAAAAACAGAATCACATGTATCGTTCATCATATACGCATGCCAATAAAAATATGATAGAAGTCATCGAAATAAGTTTCATACTTCTTGTTGATAAAGTTTCCATCGTAAATGTTTTATGTTTTTCAAGAATGATTTCGGAAAATTGTCAAAATTTCATATAATTGAATGATCCGTCACATGGAATAGATTCTCTTTTTGAAGTTTTTCTTCACAAGAATAAAGTGAATGATGTTTTTTTAAACAGTAACGAGTTGATTGAAAAATATCGCGATCACTTTGCTTTGCCTGGATTCAGTATCATTCTTTATTTTTAAGTTTGTCATTGGTTTGTTCTTGTTGAATCAATCAACAGTGATTACATAATTAATATAGTCAGACAGCGAAATTCTGAAAGATTTTTATGTTTTTGCTAGTATTTTCAAAGGTTCTTTTGAGAAACAATATCGAATTGAATTTTCTTGGAAACTTCGAAATCTCAAACAAGAAGCTCTAAAATATCTTTCTGTTTAGAAGGACAGGCTATTGAATTTCTTTTTATCAAAATTATTTCTTTTTTCCTCAAATAATTGAGGCGACATGTTTATGCATACATGTACCCACATCAAGAGAAGATAAAAAAAACTACATTTGGTTGTTGGATGGTGAAAAAGCGAATGATAACCATGAAAAAGAATCAACGTACCATCGTGGAAGTGAGAGATATTGAAAACTTTTTACAAGAAAACGAATAATATCTAACAAAAATTATCTAATATATGCATGCTAGTGAATTCGTTGAACAGTGAGTTTGATCGTTTCTAATTTTTATTTTCATCAGCTGCTTTGAAACCCTTCAATTAACCGATATCGCAATTAAAAATGCTATGAGACATTTTTGACTACTTCCATCAGTTAGTCTTTTGAATTCATGTCATTCAAAGATTCATACGTACAGTGTTGACTTTATTTAGAATGAAAAACTCAGGTCATGTGAAATTTTGCTGCGTCTAAACGCACTTAGAAACGTGTTATAATTAACTGCGCCTGAAGCGATAAATATGAAATGTACTGAACGCAGCTAAAATGAAACATCTGATGCGTTTAAACGCATCTACAAGATGCATCTACACGTGTTTTTATAAACGCATCTGAACGCATAAGGTGTTTTATCATATGTTTAGATGCGTTTACCCGCATTTCAACAAAAAACATGTCTCAACCCGTTTCTATTTTTTTCGAAAAAAATCATCTTGTTCTCTCAGATTTGTGTTGCCTCACCATCAAGCTCATATGATGGTCAGCTCTTTCTAGAGGATAAAACAAGTGTTATAATATTTTTTGCACAAACCTTTAAATTGTGTGGTGACTGAGGCTACAACAGAAGAAATATGATCACAAGGCGACATAACTAAACCAATGAATCGCATTGACTTATGCATCTTTTAAACAGATATCTAGTTTGATAAAGTAAATTGTCGAATCACTTAATTTATATACAAGAAGATGTGTAAAACAGAAACATATATTTAAGCGTAGTTTGTTAATTTATCTTGATATTACTTTAAAACGATTAAGATTGAGAGAATTCAGATTTCAAAAAGGGTGTGGGTTAAAAGAATTTAAATACATCAGTCATACCCACACGCACCCGCACACACGCATCCGCATCTTTCACCCACATCAACGGTTTCAAAATAAGCTAGAAATAGAATTCTTATGATGCTATCGAGTTCTATGATTTGTATATCCGACTGATCATGGACTACATGAGCGGACAAACTACAGTTCATGATTTTTGTTTTAAACTGGTGGACAAGATGTTGGTTTGATAATTATTAGCAAGCGAACTTACAGCAGTTATCGATATAAAAGAATCCATCGTTCAAATATTTAGGATCATATGTGCAAAGATTTCAAAGAGCCAAATGATAGCTTCGTGTGATGAAAAATTGGTTGTATCTCAAAAACAATTGACCATGAGGGTGTGGGTGGGTGTGGGTGTGAATAAGTGAAGACAGAATTCAGATCCACAGCCACAACCACACCCCACCTCACATTCATACCCACACCCGATACAAGGTGGTACATCGTGGTACATAGTTAGCTGTGAATCGAGTGGTACCAGTTGTATTTGTACTTCCGCATCTCTGGATGTACCATTCGGATGTGGGTGTGGGTGTGAATGTGGGATGTAGGGTGTGGGATGTGGGGTGTGAGGGTACGGGTGTAGGTCTATGTGTGGGATGTGGGATCCGGGTGTGGATGTGGATGCTTGCTTATAAAGTCGCTTCATCCATACTCGCAGCCACAACCACACCCACCCACATCCACCGTGGAATCAGATTTCTTTTTTTAGTTTTAGCTTGTCGCCGGACATCTGTTGTCAACTTCTCTTGCACAACAATTCTATTGCCATGTCTTGTACCGAAGAGTCTGATGATTATTTGAGTTATAATGATCCGTTAGATTGGTTTGAATATTTTCCAGCGGCTGCTAGTACCAGCCAATTGCCTATCAATATTAAGTCTCATTATACATTTGCTCAACAATATCCTCCATTCGAATTTTCCCCTGATACCAAGAGTCAAATTATGTTAATATTGACAAGCAATGGTTATCAAGTTGCTGCTACACTATCAAAAGATTCTGAAACTCAAAATCAAACCAATTTGCCATTTACTGGTGGAGGTCTAACTGGTAAATTTAATTTCGGGAATTTTCATTTACATTGGGGTAGAAGTGGGAGGCATGGATCCGAACATGAAATTGATGGACATAAATATCCGGCTGAAGCACATTTTGTTTATAAGAATCTTGAAACTCAACAAATCGCTGTATTTGGATTTTTTTCATGTTGCTTGTTCAGTTAACGAAGAAAATAGTGAATGGAAGAAATATACACATATTGCAAGTTTATTGACAAAGATAGGTGATGCAATGAATTTCACTTTCAGTTTAGATCATCTGATGCAATAGCACTATACACTAATGACGACTGTACAATTTGATAGCGGTTAAGATCAGTGAAAAGAGGAGAAAGGAGGATTTTCAGAAGCAATGGAAAGTTTTAAGTAATTAGGGATGAGAGATAATCCAAAAAGTGCAACATCTATGTGTCATAAGGGATGGTCTCTATTTCTGATAGCTACGTCCAATATTTCTTGCTCATATTAGATTAGATGAGCTTTTCCACCAGTCTGAATATTAGCATTTCTATTTGGTAATAGACAATTGATATTGATCTCTCAGGCATGGCACTGAACTGTTTAGATAGATAAGCTGCAGTAGGCAACTTCTGGCATGTTTACGCTTACAAAGAACCCATTGATTGTTCCAGTCACTTAAATACCTACTAGTTGAATCACTTTAAAATTATTAGAGCATTTTCATTCTAAGAAACGAACGAAATGTCACCGATAATAATAAGTAGAGTGGATTACTAAACTTTTGTAATATTCTATAAAATTCAGCTGGAATTCAACAATTTACATAAGACTCGAAGAACTTCCATTCAAGAAGGCATTGCAAACTCGAACTTATATACCGGGTGAGTCATAATGATTGCAACATTTAGTATTTCGCAAATATCTCACCAAAGATAAATCGTATAATATTGATTCTTTTTTTTAAAAGATGCGCCGTTAAAAGCTCTACAAAAATTGTAAGGGCAAGTCTCTATTGACTCGTTTGGATGGTATCTCTCATATTCAAGATAAATAGGTCATATGATGGTGCTATGTCCTACCGTATTAAATATTTGGAAGATTTCTTTTGTTTTGCAAATATCTCGACTTGAGAAAACGACAACACCTTGACTTTTCTTCAGAAGATGCGCCGTCGAAAGCTCTACAAAAAATGTATGAATAAATCCCTATTGACTTGCTCTGATGACTTTTCTAGTTGGTTAAATTAAAGACTTGTGTGATGTTGCTACCGAGTGTTCAAAAATATTTGCAATATCTTTTATTTCGTATGAATCTCGGCTTAAGAAAATGCTAGAATTTTGATTTACTTTTTGAAAGATGCGCCGGAAAAAGCTCTACAAAAGCGGTAAGAACAAATTCCTGTTGACTTTCTCTGATGGTGTCTCCGATACTCAAAATGAACAGGTCACGTGATGGTGCTATATACACCACAGTATTTAGCATAACAAAAATATGTGGAAGACTTTTTTATTTTGCAAATATCTCGACTTGAGAAAATGATAACGTCTTGATTTTTTTTTTAAAAGATGCATCGCCGAAAGCTCTACAAAAGCTATATGAACAACTTCCTATTGCAAAACAAAAAGGTCTTCCAAATATTTAATACGGTGGGACATAACACCATCATATGACCTATTTATTTTGAATATGACAGATACCATCCAAACGAGTCAATAGAGATTTGTCCTTACAATTTTTGTAGAGCTTTTCACGGCGCACCTTTTAAAAAAAGAATCAATATTATACTATTTATCTTTGGTGAGATATTTGCGAAATACTAAAAGTTGCAATCATTATGGCTCACCCGGTATATATACCTAAGAGTTTAATAGAATTTCAAGCTTTCTGTGGAACGTCTTCCAGTCCTGTGGTATAACTTCGAAAAAATACAAAAAATGTTGGGGCTTTAATATTATTGTAATCTCTGAAATATTGTTGTCCGTTCGCATTTTCTGGTTTCTATCATATGGAAAATTTTAGTACAAAGCAAACGGTTGTATACAGGAGAGAGAAAGTTGACAAGTCAACGAAAGACGAGCAAACCTGGACAGTAAAAGAACAAGGGTTCAGAATAGCCGAAAAGTGCTGACGTCCTTCAAAGATGGTGCAAAATTGAAAGCAGACGATTTTTTCGTTATATGGGTAGTTTAACAACACCACCGTGCACTGAAGGTATTATATGAACAATATCTGTCGATTCTATTCCAATAGCCGAAGAAAGTTTAAACTTACTTCGCAATAACGCGATGCGAAAAACCTATCGACCAGTTCAACCAATAAACGATCGAATTATTCACAGAAATTATGATCACTAACAGACAAGACAAACGCTTGAATATTATTGTCATTTTGATTTAAAAATAAAGCATAAAATGCATGCCTAAGATACATGTCCATATTCTGCCATTGTTAAAAGATGTAGGTCATTGTAATTCAAACCAAAGACATTCGATAAGCTCCCAACGGATTCTATTGAAATTTCAGAGAATCCTGGTGGAATAATTACCCTTGGAAGGTGTCGGATTCTGAGAACTCTCAATGATCAGGAAATATCAGAAATTATTCGTTCAATCTTGAAGTTTTTCTCAGACGATCGTATCTGCCACATACAAGACACTTTTTATTCACAAATTTATCAACATCAACTACTGAAACCTATACATAAACTAGCGACCATATCGATGTCAACATTATTCGTGTCTCCAGTGAAAACAATAGCATACAAATATAATGATGCGTGAGGACAGTTCCGTTCTATTAGTTTTGGGTGTGGGCATAGAATTAATCCAAACCCACATCCTATTGCCTTTCGGGGCGACTCTTCTATTCCGCCAAATAGACGATCAAAGAACGATCGGATCGAGTCTGAAATTGTTGAACTAGACGTACTTTAATCATTATTGAAACTGATTATTTAATAATGAAATAATTTTAATTCGAATATTTTGTTTTTCGTAAGTGACATAAAGCAATGAAGCATTTGCTTCATAGTAGTAATATGTTTAATCACATTATAATTTGTTTCTATTCATATATCAATTTTCTTATTACTCAAAGTGAATAAATCTGATAGAGACAAGAATAAAAATTGAATAGTTTCATTCTTTTCAAGAACCTTTTATATTGAATATAAGCAAAAACAATATATTCGCTAATAAAGCAAAAACTTTATTGTTGGATTTATTTCATGAGGAAAAAAAATGAAATTCATTAATTCATTTGAAAAATGGAATTGTAAATGTTTTTGTTCACAAAAATTTATGACTTATCAATATTTCCTAATAAAACTTTTGGTAAATGACAATGAAGACTCGACTTTAAATAAAAAATTAATAAATTTAAAGTAAGAATAAAGCTCAGACAATATCTTACTCGGATTTTTCGCTATCAAATGAAACTAAAAATATATTTCTTTTGGATACGAGTACTTTTAATAATAATACAAGAAGAAAAATATCCATTGAAATCAAATGAATTGTATCATTTTGTATATTTAATACTGAAACAAAATATTGTAAAAAAAAAGACAATTATATCTCAGCAAAAGAATTAAAACCTTGTTTATTTAAATATAATGTAATTTGTTTGTCTTTTTTAACTTTATAAACCATATATAATGAATTATTTTATCGTCGATCATCAACATGTAAAGTATCAAAAATCTGGACTACTTCCAACATGCAAGATGTTGATCAATATCATTTTCATTAAGTGGATCTACTATAAATAGAAATTAACGAATAAGAGAACTAGTCCAACTTTAATCTGCTCTTTGAACTCATATTGGTTCTACAAGGAGGTTTCGATAAAAAAAAGTGTTCGTTCATGCCCAATGACCCAAGTTAGAGCAGTTTCATTCAGTTTTCGATGTATTTACTGAAAAATTAAATAATGAAAATAAGTCTAATGACTCTTCGTATATCTTAAGATATTGAATTTTCAAGTAAACTTGACTTTGGTGGGAAATGATTATTTTATTGGAATTCATTATTTCGCTAAAGGAACATTTTCTTCGACTGAGTCTCTCACGATATGATAAGAATCATTGGGCAGAGATCAATTATTTGAATTTTTAGTCAATACATCGACAATTAAGTGAAGCGGTCTTAACTCGGCTTATGGACATGAACCATTTTAAACTTTCTGATCGAGACCTCCCTGTAAGTGTAATATGAACTCACAAGAGAGTTTACTAATGGGTTAATTCCTTCGTAGGAAAATTCTTAATTGAATTAAAAAATCTTTACAGTTTGTGGGATCGATTGTAAATTTCGTTTTAGTGCCTGATTATGATTCTTCAGCTTCAATTTGTAACAAACCATTAGCACCAATATCCATACAGATTGATATTATCAATGTCTATGAAGCAAAATTTGGTGTTAAACCCGTAAGACTAAATTTACCAATAAATATTTAAGACACAAAAAAATGATTTCATTTTAATCATTTTCAATTAAATATAGATTATTAAACAAAAATATACAAGCAACTTACTGTTTTTCCGATGATATCTAACATTTAACTCAAATCCAAGTAAGGATTTGAATTGTCAATGAAACTTTCTAAAAAAAACTAAATTCAATAGTTTCAAGGTCTTGTAAGATTTTATGAAAACTAGTTTTCAAAAGTATTATGGAAAGGACTCAAAATTCTGATTAAAATAAGAGATTGTTGTATTTCCTACGATCTGACTTTAAAAATCTATAAGGATCACAAAACAAAAATCTTTACAGTAAGTTTTATCATACCAGTGTTAAAAAATGGATTTTTTGTGATGCTCATCACTTTGTAATGGAAAGTTGCAGGAAATATAATAATGCTTCATTTTACTCAGGATTTTCTACTCTTTCAGGCAATACTCGTGAAAAACAATGTTTGCAAATATTTCTGAAACTTCAAAAGTATGATGTTTAGTTTGTCAAAAACGTTTGTCTCATAGGGGTGTGGGTGGGTTTGGGTCTTGGTAGGGTGTGTTCTGGATTTGACTCTGACCCACACCCACACCCTTACAGGATTTATTTTTATTGAAATCATAAAGATAGAATTGAATTTACAATGAAGAAAAAAACTGATAAATATTTTCTAAAAAAGTTCTTGGATGTTCGACAATTAATCGTTTTACTTTGGAACAATTGCGTCGCATTAGATCATTTGTAAAGCTTGTTATTACGAGTTGTAGTTGGCCAAAATTGACTTTCAATTCAGTTAGACAAGGTAAATGTGTGATTGTTTCGAGTAGAAATTGCATAATATAATACCAATGCACACGTTTAAAATGAAGTGATGCAAGATGAGAATATTGAATAACTGAGTGGGTTGGATTTTTATTGAGCAGCTTTTGAAGAGGACTGTTTGACATTTTTGTAGTATTTATCATAGAAATATATTTCAGCACTGGAAAAGCTTCACTGATTCGAATAAAGAATTCATGTTCCATTGAAATATTATCTTCGGCAGTTAAATGAGTTACAGTGTCGAATCCAATAATTGAAAACCGATTCGTGATTTTTCCCAAGCGAATAAATATGATATATGAATCGAAAGTCGTTGACATAATCAATGATACAAGCTATTTGTTCATATTTTATGTTTGCCAATGTTTGCTGAATATCATCAATAGATTTACAATGAAGAAGATTATTAGTGAGCGTTTCTGTAGTTATCTAAAAGTTAAATGTATGAAGTTGAGGCATATGAACAAGAACTTCATTGTGAAGATATGTACCATCGAAGACGAATGAATCAGTTTGACAAAAACGAATATATAAAGTTAGCTTTTCGAGATATGTCATACATTGAAGAAGCGCCTTAACCGCAATGCCGTTACTAAAGGTATTCTTATAACTTGTTAATGAGAAATATTTCAACTTAGGTAACTTATTCTATAAAAAAATAAGATTAAACATTCCTTTAGAATACATATTTATGTGAAAGTTCTAATCATTTACAATTCTTCTTTCAACATTTCTTACATTTCATCAGATTTACAATGTGAAATAATCATGTTAAAAATAAATAGTCGACACTACTAAATTTTTCTATATATTGAAAGTTTTATACAATTTGAATAGATTCTGAAATCGTAAACATGCATGAAATATCGTTTAATAGAATTAGTTTTCATTTCTATAGCACAACTTCGATTATAAAAACAAAACATTCAAGTTAAGAGAAAAATCTCTTCTAGGAATTATTTTCATCACATGCTTCAAGCAGTGTAGTTTCTTTTTATAGTGCTATTTTTGAACCTAGAAAAATTTATATGATATCTTTTCATTCTCTCCAAATTATTATCATATCAGAGATGTTGTGATCTTATAAAAGATGATTACACCACGTTCATAAATTCTGTTGTGTTTTTCTGCTTTGTACTCTTTGTACGCAATAAAAAACAAAAATTAATTATTGAGAAAATATTAAACAATCTTTTCTATTGTTTGTTGTAACGATCAAGCTACACATTTTGAAAATAAGAAAATAATAATAGTTAACTATTTCTAATCGTTTCGTAATAATTACATCTGTTATCCTTTATATTTACTCTACTACTACATAGTAATCATCTTGTGCGTTTACATGTATATGATTTCAACGTTGATATTTTTCTTTAATTTCATACGACAATAAAACGCACTATTAACTTACCATATTAGCAGACATCAATGATGAAAAGGAGAGATCGTGGATTTGAACGATGAATGTGGTTAATTGTGGGAGACGATCGTCAAGCAAAGAGAGACAATCATCAAAACACATAACATTAAGACATAATACAGTAAGAGTCGTAGAAAAAAAAGTAGTTGATGGTAAATTTTTCAATGATAAAAATGGATACTCGTTTACTGATGGTGTAGCAATTGTCAAATGTTTTAGATTTTGAAAAAGAACCATGATATGTGCATAAATATTTTTAGTATAAGTTTTTGACAATTCTTCATTGATGTATTCATCATTATTATGAAGAATAAGATCTGTTATTCGATCCTTAAAAATCGATCGAAATACTGAGTCATCTAAACAAAAACACAACAGCATAATTCAAGGTTTTTGCATTTTATATGAGTAGGAACATGTTCAATATTTACCTGTAAAGTTATTGAACATTAACTCTTGCCTAAAATCGAACAGCTCAAGATAAGTCAAATTAGGATAATCTCCAGCAAGAAGAATACGTTCCATAGATTTTGTTTCGACAGTCAATTTTTTTATGCAGTGATGCTTTCGAGGTAATATTGAAGTACAAAATTGATCAAGCTCATCATCAGTAATCGATGGTCTTTTTACAAAATTGACAATATTATTAAATACATTATCTTGTACTAAAATGTCAAATGGTTTATTAGGAATTCTACACAACGAAGAAAGAACATAAATAGTGTCGAGTTTCTTCAATATGATCATCAATATTTCATTGGGCAGATCAAGAAGATGAATGTTTGACTGATTCATGTTTGCTTATGACTCTTATCTTCATAGAAGCATATATATATATGTTAGTTTTTTTTCTTCTAGCCTTGTCCGGCAGCAAGGATTAGAATCTATAGCCCATGATGTTCATTCACATGAAAATAGATCATGTTATGTTAAACAAGGGAAAAGAAAAGTTGACTGAATTGTAACTGCTTATGTAATGTTTAAATAAATAATAACGGTCGTTTTGTGTACCTAATAGAAACAGTTTAATACGAATGATATATTAAAATAAACTGCATTTTCGTTTCTTTGTTAAAACGATCTCCTAAAAAAGTTAAAAACAACTAGTTCATTTTTACAAAAAGTTTTATAGAGAAATTTTGATTTCTATTGAATGGGCACAGGCAGACACGAAAATGCCAAAAACGCGTTAAAACAGTTTATGAAAAATTGCCTTTTAACGCGTTGTTGACGACTAATAACACTTTAAATAGTTCTAATGATTTCCATTATAATGATTCTTAACATTCAGGAAATACTTTATTTATACGATGACTTATCAATAGCTTATAATTCAATTTTCTTCCTGTTGATTAACTGATTGACTATATTCAAATTATAATTTAGAGTGGGGTGTGTGGATGGGCGTTAGATTAAGAGTCTACTGACACCTACACCCCACACCCACTCTGAAAATTTTTAAGACCGTGGCTTGTCCATTTCTGGTTCTTATGTTAGTTTAAAACTGCAAAAATATATAATTTGGTTAAAACGTAGAATTGACTTGTAAAAGCTTATTGTCAAAATTTTTAATCGATGAATGAGATCATTTTACATTCATAATTTCGTTGATATAAGCATCCACTAGATATATATACACTGGTGGCCCAAAAGTGACGGGACAAAGTAAGGAAATAGTGAAGTCTTTCCAACGTTTTCTTAATGAATGAATAGCTAGATCTCATATTTGGATCAAATATACTAAATAATAGTTCTTGGAGAAGCCTCCTATAATCAGGCTTTATCCTTAAGATTTTGTTGAAAAACGCAGGAACTTCTTTTTTGTACTCTAATAAGATTATTGCTAAAGTTCATTGCTTTTCTGTTATATTTTGTTTCTATCTTTTTGGCTGTTTGCATCAGCCTATACTAGAGGATTTCAATTCTTTTGACTCTAAAGCTGTTTTTGAGTTTTTACATAGAAAATTATACAAGAATGGAATGTGACGGGACGAAATAAAATAAATTTGATAAAAAAAAAGATAACAAACTCATGTAACAGACAGATAGGACTACAAGAGAGACATTCGAACGTTTTTCAATAAAACATTAAGGGCAAAGCCTGATGATAGGGTACTTTTTTGAGTATTATCATATAGTATATTTGTTCCAAATATGAGATCTAGCTATTGATCCATTAAGAAAAAGGTTGAAGAGAATTCACTGTTTTCTTATCTTGTCTCGTTACTTTTGGATCACTCTATAAATAATATAATTCTATCAAATCGATAAAACAGAATTAATATTCGATAAGTTTGAATAATCATTCTTTTGACTTTTATAAAACAACGCTTAATAATCAAATTTTATCGAATATAAGAAACAATTTACATATAAAATTTATAGAATCGATTTTCGCAAGATTCTTGATTGATATACTAAGTGAGATAGATTCAAAAAAAGAATAAACTAATAGACTCGAAATATGTCTCACAAGTAGAATATTTAGAAAAGAAATCTTACAGAGTAATTATATTTATATTGCATAATAACTTCAAGTGACATTCGAAACAAGGTATTCCAACAAATAAATTTCTTTTAGATTTCATGACACATACTCCGCACATCCACATAGTCACCAGCACCGATGATGATACCAACATTTTCAACTGTTCAGAGAGCATGTTTCGTGTTACATCGATTGGTGGATTTGGATGTGTCGTAACGCTGACTCTGATCCACACCCACACCATTGATTATTTCGAAGAACTTAACAAGCAGTCTATCATCGAAATAAACACATTTAATTTTTCTCTTTTGTTTTTTCTTGTTGTTTTAGTGACTTTTATGATACGTATGCATTGAGATATTGTTGAGAAATAACGACATTCAAAGAAAATATACTTTCGTTTCTTCGTTATGAAGAACTTTTATCTGACAACTATTACTATTGGTTGAATCTGTAATTCATGCTGTGAAATATTTGGTTGTTTCCATTTATTACTGATAAATTGAATATTCATGTTAGTTTTTTTTTTAAATAAAGGGAACGAATGAGTCAGTAATTTATCAAGAGAGATGAATTACTCAAGTATGTCGCAACAATCAAGAGAACATAAATAAAGAGCATTGAACAAGTTTCGATATGTGTTTGCCGTCGAAAACAAAGATCGATTCAGTAGGTATAGAGCACTTTGTCTTAATCTAAATTCTATTATAAGAAAAAATTAGATACGAAAATCATTTGAAATAAAAACACAGAAATTATACCTCTTCTTATTCGTTTATTTAATATTCATTCGATTTGTCATTCTAGTCGTATTCGTAAAAATTTTTGCCAATCTGAAAAATATTTTATCGTTCTACAAAATTAAATTTATTCATGGCATCAAATAATCGAACATGTTATGTATTTGATAAAGATGATATTCAACTAAAATTCTTATTCAAATAGTTTGTGAAATTCATTCAACAAATATTTCTCGTCAATTTAATTTATTACGTTCTATGGATGAATCTGTTTCTCAAACAATTCATTGTTTAACAACTAACATTGAACGTGCTATGATCAAAGAAAATAAATTAAATAAACGTCGTCAAAAAAAACCGGCTAAGGTAACATCTGATATTGAAAAACAAATAATTGTTGTAGAATTATTTGATGATAATAATAATCAACCAATTGATGAAAACGAAATAAATAAAAACGCATGGTTTAATTGTCGAAGATTATCAATTAATGGACAATCCTATAGTGTTGAATACAATGCACCAGGCTTTTCTTTTTACAATCATAAGTAAAAGTTATATTATTTTTGTTTAGCTGTTATTAAATTTCGTTTTCCTGAAAAAATTCTAACAAATACAATAACAACAGCATTTGTAGAAATTGATTATGGTCAATATGAATATTCATTATTTGATTTGTATGTTACAGATGATATTGAAACAAAAGAAAATGATCATACTCAATGGATACATGTATATCGTGGATTATTTTGTATATTTAATGATGAACATGTTAATAAATGTGTACATCTTGTTTGTTTACCTCGAAATAATTCATTACGAGAAGGTATGCAAACTGAAACTATATCAAAAACAAGAATTATTCAATATCCATTTTATTTACCAATGAATATAAGACATGAATTAACAAAAGAATATTTACCTATTGGTTCAAAAAGGTAAATCTTAACTATTTTATTTCATTAAAATAATTCTTTTGTTTTAGTTTTCGTTTAGTATCGTATAATATATTAGCAAATGGATATGCATCATCAGCTGATGCTGCTAAAACAATTTATTCATGTTGTTCACAAGATTATCTTGAACATGATTATAGAAAAGCACTTCTTTTAAAAGAAATATTAGGATATCATGCTGATATTATTTGTTTACAAGAATGTGATGCATCATTTTATCAACGAGAACTTTCATTAGTATTAAATCAATATGGTTATTTAGGTGATATGAAAATAAAAAGTGATTCAATGAGAGAAGGTATTGTGATTTTTTATAGAACAGATCGATTTGTGTAAGATTAATTTGGTTTTCTATTAATATATATATTGAAATCTATTTATATTTATAGTGCTATCGGTAATTATAATATTAAAATAGGTGAATATTTACGTTATTCAGAACAATTGGAATATATTCGATGTCGATGTTCACTAGTATCAGAAATCAATACTCATTTATTAGAAAGAAATACAGTATTACAAGTAAGATTATTCGATTTTATTTTGTTTTAAGAAATATTTATTAAAGAATGTGCGTTTTCTATCTTCTGATATATAACATTTATCAAATATTTTAATGGATTATTCGTAAAGGATTTGAGAGAAAATGTTGCATTTTTAACCATACTCTTGATAGTATAATCTTAATTGTCTTCTTACTCAAATACATTTCTACTTCTGTTTTTTTTTATTATAAAAATATCTCAAGAATAGAAATGCAAAAATTAATGAAAAAACCTATTTCAAATTTTTCGTCGATTTTTACTCACCCTTCATACTAATCAATTAACCACTTGGAATAATTCATTTTGATTGAAATTTTTATACATGAGCAAAGTCAATGACAAACATCTTTAATAAAAATCTCAGTACGGTATATCAAAGTAAGGTGAATTTTGAACTTATTTAGAGTATTTTGTTAGTATGCCACTTACTTCAATTAGGAGTGTGACGTTGAGCGGTTTTCAGTAGTTTCTCATGAAAGAAAAGTTGTTTCTGAAAAAATAATAAGATTTGAGTATTTTGAGTCAGAAAATGCGAATCCTATTATCTCATTCAAATAGTTTCAAGCTAAAACTAATATCTACAATAAGTTGTTTTTATTCGAACAGAATTTTTTATGATTATTTCAATAGAAATACTATTGAAACTTGTGTTGTCCAATAGCAATCCACAACAGAGAAAAAAACTGATCGGACAACATTTATTCCTCGTTAGACGTTTCAAAAAAAATACTGTTTCAATCTTGAATGGAATAACACGAGTTTTAAATTTTTTCATTAAAGCCAAATTTTGAGAGAAACGCTTAATAAATTTAGGCGAGTTATTGTTCCTTCGAATTCATAGCAAAAGAAAAGTGTACTAAGATGGTATATGCATATATTTAATTTGAATTTTTCGAATTACGTAACAGAAGTTATCAGATAAGGCCATCTTCCCTACTGGAATTATATAAAATTCGAAAATTTCTCCACCATCTCATCTACATTCCTCTATGATCAAAAGTTAACTTTGAATCTTTTATCGAAAAATTAAATTCTCTAAAAAAAGGAAAAAAATATGAAAACGATTTTCGTTTATCGTTTAATGAAGGGAAGTTTTTATTAAAAATGTATATCGTTCATAGAATGATGAGAAAACGACTGATTCGATTTCAGAACTAAGCCAAAGTTTTCGAACTTTATCGGTGTCCCTATTCTAAGTATCCGTAACCACACGACAAGATAATGTTCTTATCTGCTTTATGACTTGAATAGGATATTTTCATACAAATATAAAAAACTTCAGATTCCATTTTTGCTTTATTGAAAAATCCAATTTAAGCTTTTATATATCAGTCATCTAACTAAAAATTTTATCAAAAGAAATATGTATAACTTAATTGAAAATATACTATGTTTTTCTATTCGAATTCTTCCGTTTATTTTCGAAATGAATTCCTAAGTATATTTTCTATATGTAGAATGCAGTTCAATTATGATTATCATATGAAAGAGGCATATGACAGAAGCAGGGTTGGAACCGGTCCGGTAAAACGGTACCGGTCCGGCCGGACCGGAACCGGACCGGACCGGACCGGTTCAGAAATTCAACCGGGCCGGAAAATACCGGAAATTTGCCGGTTGAAATTTAAAAATAAATATCTTTATTTAACTGCCTTTTTGTAAAAAAAAGGGATTTTATGAATTTTACTATCAAGAAGATGAAATGATGCGCTNATATGTTGTCTTCTCAACGGAGGAGATATATACATATATATGTGTATGTATACAACATCTTTGTTTTTTTGTGTTGTTGTTCAGTTATCGATTTCCAATAAACAAGAAGGGAGAATATCTAGACCCTAATACAGATCTATGACAATTTCATTTTTATGAATGGAGAAAATTTGAAGGGTATGGGTATGAATGAAAGTGATACCAACAACCATGCCAACATCCACATCCCGAACAAATTATTTTTGAAAGTCGACTCTTTCAAAATATCCGTAGGTAACATCATATTGGTAAAAAGAAGTCTTTCTGCTACCTCTCTCCCCCTCCCCACGATAAGAGACTCAGGATCTTCTATTATGTTCAGGCGAAAAAGAATTTTAGGGGTCTTGCTTTATGTCTCTCGTATTTTTACAGTTTTTAATTCAAAAGAGTTTCTTAGAAAACCGAAGCGCTTTTCAAGATTCCAGAACGAATTTTCACGGTTTTCAAAGCTAAGGTATAGTACGCAGCTCACCGGTTTGAGATTTTCAGCTAAAAACCCCCAAACTAGACATGCTTGACTGCAAAATCACTAATTAGAGTCCTCACTCTTTAAAAGAATCATTAATTAAATGGGAGGTCTTCTTTTATTTCGAAGGGCGGGGCCGGGGGAGGTAACATACTAGTATCTCGAAGATAATTTCTGAAATTCTCAAACTCTTTGGTCAAACTAATCTGAGTAAGACTATCATGTGGAAAGTTCCAGATTGTGATCTGAAATGTGAAACTTTGATTTTTCGGGAAAAGTCGATATCTCAGCTAAATCCCAACTGACATCACATTATTTTATGGATACATTTTTTCGGATATATTGTCAATCCAGTCCTTGAAGTCTTTATATGTACTAAGAACTATTCTGATGTCGTTTCATATAATCATGAGGCGACTTCATTTTGCACGGTTCAGCTATCGTAAGGCTCAACTGAAATTTTAACAATCTTAAAAAAATGCCAACATTTTGATCATATCTGACACATTATTGCTTATATCAGTTCGAAGTGTTTCAATAAATTGACGAATCCACGTAATTTGGCAATAATTTTAAAGATCCATCGTTTATTCTTTCTACAATATCAATACTGCTCGAAAGAGATTTTTTAATTTGCATTGACTTCATTGATGATATGAATATTGATCGAAACTTTCGAAAATTAATAAAATCTCTGATTACTCTTGCTTTCTAAAATGATCAAATATTTCATGCCTTCGAATATTGCGCATCAATAAACTCATGAAGATGTACAGATACAACCACTGTGTGACACAAGAGAAAACTCACTCTATATTTGGAAGAATTTAGTGATGCTGTTTTAGGAACAAATCATGCTATTGAAAAAAAATTTCATCTACTTTTTCTGTTCAAATATAAGAAGACTTCATCGTCATTTATATAATATTTTAAGTCAGTTTAGATGACGAAAAGAAGTGCAAACGTGATTATTAGACATCCTTATAAGTATCGCTTGTCTACTGGAGAAAGAGGAAAATCCCTATTTTATCTTCTGGCTTTGTCATAGTTGAGTAATTTCAGATTAGTCATAAATACCTAAAGAAAGAACGTGTATATTATTCATGACGTAATTAAGCATATAATACCAACTTTGTCTTATCAAAATTACAGTAGGCATGACAAAGTCAAAGAAAAGGAACTGAAGTCATCCACTTTTCATGTATAAAAAGGGTTTTAAATGCTCGTTTTAAACACATTGTTTATTCTTTATTCTTTATCATTACTTCAAAATAAGAAAGTACAAAATATGAAAGTCTTTCGATTTCTCTTGGCTCTTCTACTTTTGAGCGTAATTTTCCATCAGCAAACGAATTGTCAAAGTGTTGATTTAACACCATGCACATCTGGACAATGGATCGCGTGTGGTATTGCTGTCGGCACAGCTGTTTACAACAAGTACCATTCGTGGAGTGATGTTGACACAAAACAAGCTTTTGGCACAACTTGTTATTCACAATTCAAAGGCGGTTTTCATCGTTGGGAATGGAAGTGGAGCGGTAAATTCTGGTGTCCATCATTAAGTTCAACTATTCAGGGTGAAAGTACACAATGGAAAAGTCGAACTGGGGCTATCGAACATGCTATTCAAGATTATGTCACGAAAATGACACAAGCTGGATTGCTCACAGTTAACCAACTCAAGTTAGAATCCTTAGGAGTCGTCACAACTTCAAAAAAACCCGGTGCGCACCTTCCTGGGCGACCATGGGTATTGGTTCAAGAATAGTTTTCACGAATCATTGGAATCGCAATATGTGAAAATTTTGTCCGCAGGACTCAAACTCAAACTCAAATTATAATGAACTACAATTACATTTATTTCCGTACATGCTCTCTGTTTTCATCTCTTCTAATTTTATCACTTTTTCTTGTTTGTTTTTTTGAATAAACTATTCTATGATTTGTAAGCTGAGACATAGAAAAGTGGAGTATACAAAGAGTATTTATGCAATTATGTGTGCATTAGAAAACAGTTATAGAAAAATGAATTTTGATCATGTTTTCAAACGTGTCTTAGAGTCCTATAATGAGTGACTCAGTCAATTAGATTTAAGATGTCATTTTGAAGAACATGATCATAAATGTATAAAGTAGTTGAAAATTGTTCTAAACATGAAATGTCTCGTTTATGATACGGCAGGTAAATAATTTGTTTGTGATATGTACTGTGATTTTCTACAAATGATCATTCTTTTCCTCTTACATCTAGTGATCGGGCGCATTATGATTCTTATTTACTTACATCTCTCACGCTCAATATATCTACTAACATGCGTATTTATACGTGAGCATTAATTATAACTTTATAATAAAATTTAATAAAAATAATAAACACATAATATGATCGTGAATCAAAACAAAGTGGACAGATCCGAATGAGAAAACTTTTGGATTAGATGCGACTACGAGCTTGATTCAACAACTAGATAAGCATGCGGGTAGTAGAAACAACAACGTTCATATGAATTTTAATACATCAAATAATCACCAAAAAATATAGATAACCAAGGCAGTATGGAAAAAAATGAACGGAATATGATTATATACGATAAAAAAAACTGGACAACATCATAAACGACGCTAGAATCTGACCAATGGAGACGGAGGTACCATGCAAAGTCCAAAAAATCGTCGTACTCTAGGTGACCTTGGTACCAAAGATCAAGTCGGTCAAGGATCATTACTATTTCGAAACCAAAACTACTATCATCGAAATGTTATAACAGAAACAGCATTCAATAGTTTTAAATAATTTGAATGAAACTATACTTCAATTGGTAGAATATAAATGAGCGATCAGTCACTTATTCTTTTGATATACACTTGCCACTGATCACAGTGGAATGTAAATCAAAATTACAATCCAACAAGGGGGAAAAAGCTGATTCCGTGATTCCGTGATTCTACTGATTCTATGTGATTCTACTGATTCTATGTGATTCTATGTGATTCTGCTGATTCTGTTGATTCTATATGATTCCGTTGATTCCGTTGATTCTATGTGATTCTGAGTGATTCCGTGTGATTCTGCGTGATTCCGTGTGATTCCATTGATTCTGTGTGATTCCATCGGCTCTGGAATCACTATGAATATCACTGTATTTCTCGACTATGACATCGTAACATCAATAGGAACATTATAGAATCATTATAGAGATGAATTCTGAAGACTCCCGATCATTCCATTCAATAGAAAAATCAGTTCACTCGTGATCGTAAGAATCATTGAGTCGAGCACAACAGACATAATCTGTATATTGCTGAATCTCAGCCAAAAGCGTATCAGTTCTCATTTCACAACAATAAAATAGCATATTGGAACGATATCTAACCGGCCAATGAACCAGTACGGTTTGTTTCATTGCTTTACCAAGACCACTCAAAGGATTAAAGATCGCAAGTGAGCTTTCTCGCCCGGCAATGATGTCAAAATGTTAGATTTGTTTGGAATCAACATTAAGTAATGAAAGAAATTGGATTATTGCTGTTTCTCGTGTTTTCATTATTTTCCATCCTGATTACCACTGTTGCTTTGATTTTGAAACCGGAGCTCATAGTTAATATATATACAGTTTGTGAAAGCTCCATGGTATGGAGACAGGAGTCCTCAAACGTCAGAAAGTGAAGGATCGTAAAGAGAGTAAACTCCAAAATTATAAAGCAGGCTGAGCGCTCAAGTAGGTGACTTAAGTTTTCATTTTGCTTTCTGTATCAAACGCAAAAGATAATCACTTTGTGTATATTAGCATCAATCTTTCCTAAAAAGTTGAGAATCATAGGATATTCTATAGATTCTGTTTGAACATCATTATTTGTGACTCTCAAGACGGAGAAAGTACTGCGACGGAACAACAGCATCACGAAGAATATACAAAAACTACTTTGTGGAACTGAAATTGTGTATTTCCGACCATTCGCGTTGACGTCGTTATTAGTTAGGCTACAAACTGCATACATTTCTTGCTGTATGCATGGAGAGAACATTCCGTGTGAAATATGCTATCTCTCATACTAAGAGCATCGCGCACGATGTTTTACAGCTTGTCCACACAGAACAGCAAAACACAAAGACATGAATATAGAAGGATGGTTTTGTACTGGCTCCGGCTGGTGCATCATCCTGCGAACCCAATCTTATGACTTACGAGTGCGACTAAGTAAGATATAGCCATTGAGTGTCAACAGAATGCTACAAAGGATAGCTTAACTAGTTGGATTAAAAAAGACATCCATTCTTCATTTTAGTTGTAAAAGAGAGCCCTTCACGACTACCATAGGTCCTTGTAGAAAGAGAAGTTGCCGATTCTTCGTGACTCACAATTTTTTACTTTCTAGCTGTACTTTGTCTGGCACTAATTAACTTCTTTGAGACGTTACTAAAATATACGTTTTTCTGAATCCAAAAGAATCCGATGGCATTGTTATTAATGAGTTTTGAAAATCTATAGATAGGACCCGATTGACTCTGATTGCTAAATTAGAAAATTCACTACAGCCTCGTGTTTTCAAGGAATCGCAAAACAAAGTCAAATTTTGGCTGTAGCCAAAATGTATTGATCTCTTTCATTTTGGCTAATTTTTTATTCGAAATAAAGATGTCGAAAACACCAATCTACGTAAAGTATGAAACAAGAGAGATCGCGTAGGTCGAAAACTTTCTCATTTCCTCATGATCAAAGGCGATAGAAATTTGCAATTGTAAGAGTTTTGGTGCAGGTTACATCGAAGAATATTGATATCTTAATTGGCTATAGAATATGAGTGGTCACTTAGTCTTATTGTACTAAGCAAAGATAAATGAATCCTTTATCTTTAGGAAATAGCGATCAGTAAATCATTTACCTTTATCCTTTAGTATAAAGGAAATTAAAGATAAAGGATCTCCCCTATTTTAGAGCAGTTCATAACGTACCAAACAGATTCATGTCGCTGATTCCAGCAGCCAGTCAAGTTTTCTAGATGTTCTAACTTGGAAAAGTCAAAGAATCGTTCTGAGCTCATTCAGTTGAAAATTGCTTGGGGACCTGATTATGAACCAGAAAATTGTTAGATAATCTGGTTGATATGGTAAAAGCTGCCCGAAAACTTATCGCTTTAGTCTCTTGAGGAATGAAAATGTGGAATTCAGAAACTCTATTTGTTGTATACTTCAGACAAAATGTGAAAGGGCTTCAAATAACTTAGCAAATAAATCATCCAAAACGATTACAACTTTTTATAGCTGATACTCGTGCTCGTATATTTAATCATGTGAAAAATGTGTCTATGTATTACTATTATTCGAGCAATTTATTAGATTCATTTAATATTGTTAAACTGAAAACGTTTTTTCTATTGTGAAATACATAACATCGTCAATGCATCAATTATTTTCTTCCAATGATAATATGTGGCACACGTTATATGAAGTGTAAATATTATTTTATTCTTTCAACCGCCTATTTGACTACCATATTAACTTGCTATATACATTGATTTGATCATTTAGGAAGAGTCTGACACACTATTACTTGTTTTGACAAATTATGAGATATAAGTTGAGTTTTTTCTAAACTTGGAATTCAACTATTTCATAATTTTACATGGTGCTCATCCTATTCTTAATCTATTAAATGAATAATAGCTTCGACCTACTGAATGGCATCTACAATAACACCATTTCGTTATGCATTAAATACCAAAACTTGCCATATTTAGACTACGTAGTGAGGGTTTACAGAGTTTTAGCATAATATTAACATCGTTATTGCTTGCACGTCTTTTCTCTATACTATAGAAATCTACCCAATAATCTTTGACTTTGTTCTCTCCTTCTCACTCGCCATTGCTAGAACGACGAGCAAGTTGCGAAAACCTCACTTTAAACCGGCAAACGTGTATATTTTCTTCGAAAGTAGACAGGAGTTTAATAAAAACCTGCTTGTTTGCTGTAAAATGGTGAAATTAATTCTACTACTCGGTGAAAAACTGCCAAAAAACTACTTAACTGCTTCTAACCAATGAAATGTATTCGATCAAGCATGATAAGAAGCTTAGACATATATTTCTTAGGTGTTTCATTCCATGTGATTCCGAGTGATTCTGTATGATTCTGAATGATTCTGAGTGATTCTGTGTGATTCTGAGTGATTCTATCGCTATAGAATCAGCTTTTCCCCCCTTGCAATCCAAAGACATCGCTTGGGCGTGGGTGGATGTGGCTGTGGATATGAGTGTGGATCATGTGAAAAAGATAAACACCTACACCCACCCCTTCCATTTTATTTTCATGATACTATGAGGAAAAAGCAAATCGAGGAATTTCAATTTGAAATTTTGCACAAAACTAGATGTCACGGTCTTTATAATATTCTGCAAATTTCAGCTAAAATGGATGGTTTCTTCTGAAGATGCTGAAATTTATACAAATCGAATTTTCTCGAATCCTTCGCGAGAAAAAAACTTCTATTGCACACTTATTATTTCGGCCATAGAGCGTCTATTGGGGTATGAGTATGGGTGCAGGTTTGTGCTACTGCAAGAATCATAACCACACTTACATCCTTGGAAGTTAGATCCACGATGGTTCCACTATTCGTAATACACAATGTAAGGCAATTGCTTGCCATAATTATGCAACTTTACACATTTCTTTATGAATATGAATATAAGAAGAAAAGGTATCATGTTTTTGTTTTTTTGTGTTAGCAATCATGAAAGTATAGAAGAATTTAGCTGAAATTCCTA